TTCGGAAGAAATCAGACTCTGTCGCCCTGAGAAAGAGAGAAAAGGTGGTAGGAGCAAGTAAAACGAGAAACAATTCTAGTGTGACTTGAGGCAAGAATAGTGAGGAGCGACAAAATATAAGTTAGTTGGTGTTAGTCAGACAGTTATGACGGGAGGTACCTGGGGGAGAATGAGGCCGAGGTGGAAAGAGGTGTCTCAGGTACCGAGACATCAGGCGAATCTCCACTAGGGAGTCCTAATTGCGGCAGGAAGTGAGGCTGAGGGCTCAGCGACAGGGACTGTGGCAGGACAATTCTGACAACGTGAGGTCTTGATGAAAACAATACGAGAAGAGAATTGACCTCAGTTCCTTCAACTTTCGGACATCCCCTGACGGCGCCTCCCCGGCTTGTGGAGGTGTCCGATACGACAGTTTGGGGAGGAATTACACCAATGACAGACCGCAATGGACCCGGAAGTGGGGATTCCTCTTCGTTTTTGGGGTCCAAATGTGTCAAAAGGAGGTGTTCGGCAGTGCAGCCCTGGTCGCCAGGAAACGAAGCCAGATCTGAAAAAAAGTTGAACGAGGGGGCACACTGGTGATTTGTTAGCAATATCGGATTACAAATCGGAGTAACACTTGTCCTTCAACAACATTTTAGTCGAGCAGACGGGCGGGATAACAGTAATATTAGTAGAGTGAACGGAAAATATATAGTTTTCCATCTCTCAAGCTAAGAACATTCAAAGTCGGTAGCTTAACTATGTGTATTCACCGTATTAGTGTTAAAAATTATAAGATATTATGCGAAACGCGATGAGTAATAGAAAGATTGTTCAGATAAGTATAGGCTTTCAACATATTCTTGTCTACAATAAATATATCGGACGAACAATAATTAATGCAATGAGTTCTGCTAGCCTATATTATTTGAAATCTTGTTGACGAAGATTGGGATGGATAAAGAATGGAGTAAGCTACATATTCCGGAAAATGAAAACGAAATTATTCCCGAAAGAAACGACGCATTTAAACGCGATCTGTACAGTGAATAGTCACGGTGGTCAGGGCATTCATGGACCTCGTTAAGCTTGCAGAGAGATTGGCATCAAGAGAATCTATTTTTTCTGTGGTTGAAGAAAGGTAAGGTGTGTTGAATCATATTTTTTGATAAACAAGTGCCGGTAACGAGGAAGGACAGAAGGAAAAGGTCTTCACCAGCCGAACAGCAAGCCCCTTAGTCCCTGTGGTTATTTTGTCCACCACGGTAAAACAATCATACCTAATTCAGAGGTCAAACATTTAAATTTCAGAAATAAATGGATGAGAAGAAAGAAAGTCATGTAGTTTAAGCTTTCGATTCGTTGATAAGCAGGCTAGAAGGGCCACAACTAAAAATTGTCTACAACCATTTTGGTTAAGTGTAAGATAGTGTTGCAAATCCATGAATAAAGAGGAAGTGAGCGCTAGGGCTGTCCTACTGGTAGTCTGCCGGCGGAATTGAACTAATAGTCATGTTCTATTCTCACTGGACCAATTTGTGCACAGGAAACTGCAATTCCATTCTTCGCCCCGTGTGACTGGCATTACGATAAAGGAAACAAGGAAGACGACCTTAATTGACCGAATTATTCACCGACACTTAATGAGTTTTTACACCAGCGACTTCGCTGTACCACATGACCTCAGCCGGAAGGCCAAAGGCGACATGTAGTCTGGCAGCAGTGTGTTCCCTTGTCATGGGAAAATTTCTGGGGAGAAACAAACAACATCTCCATCGCAGTGGAGCGGAACGTAAACACCGGCTCCTGAAAGTTTGGGTGATAACTGTTGAGATGGCAGCGGGTCCGTGTGTTGG